CTATTGTGTAACTGCAGCTGAGCGGAAGTATTCTGAGGAGGCTTCCGGGTCCTATGTGTCCTTCTAAGGGTGACATTTCTCCAAGCCTGAGGGTTGTCCACATCTGAGGTGCTGTTCTGTTGAGTCTCCCCGTAATGTTGGTGTGATATGGGCTGCGTGTCTAGGACAGTGTGGTGTGTGGTGTCTAAGAACAGCTCAAGTTCCTGAATGTCCTTAAGGGTCTTAATACGGTCCTCGAGTTGTCGGATCCTGTGTTCCATGCGAGTGATCTGTTTACACTTGGGGCAGATGTAATTGAGTAATTGTAGTGTGATTATGCTGGATCTTTCCTGCCCTTGCAAGAGGGATGTCAGAATATCATTTCTGTTGGGGGACCTGCCGTTGGATAATATTGGATGTAAATATCTGTCTCGCAGTTCAGTTCAGTATATGCTGGACAGTCAATTAAGAAATGTTCAATGTATTCCACTGTTTGTTCTCCCCAGACGCAGAATTTCTCACTTCTTAGGATGTTACAGTAGCGCCCGGTTTGCACCATAGTACCGAGTTGTTCAAACTTAGCCCCAGAATTGTGGGAGTTGAAGTCCCAAACACCTGGAGGCCTGAAGTTTGCCCATGCCAGCCTTACACCATTATACCAGTATATTACAGCAAGTGGGCATATTTTGCCACCAAGGTTCTCTTGGTGCAGGGGATAGGTGAAACGCAGCCTTGGAGGCACATGTAGGCCATTTAGGGTTGTGTTTAACCCCTTTAAATGCCCTGGACCTTAGGAAAGGGAGAATAATCTCTCACAGAAGTGTTCAAGACAGGCAAATTGTTTTTTAAATGGCTTGCACACCCTGCTGTAATGTTTAACACAAAATAAACATACCAATAATGACCTTCTGGCCATATCCATTTATGGTAAGGAAGGGAAGGAGGAAAGGATGAAAGAAAAAATGGCAGAAAGAGGAAGGGAGCTGGGACTGGAGCAGTTAACTCAGCAGGAAGAAGAAAAAAGGGGTAGATAAGGTACAGAGAAAAAATGGGGGGTAGCGGCGGGGTGGTGTAAAGGAGGTGGTGAGGAACAAAAAAAAAAAAAAAAAAAAAAAAAGAAAAAAAAGAAAAAAAAGGAGAAAAAAAATATAAAATAAAAATTGAAACAAAAGAATGAGGGAAAAAGAGGGGGGAGGAAGAGGGGTCGGGAGGGAAGGGGGGACAGAAAAAGTAAACGCAGAAGGAGGAAACGGTGGGGCGAGGAGAAGCGTCGGAGGGATGGGTAAAAAAAACACACAACCATAGCGAAAAAAAAAAGAAGCGAAGATAAGGGTAAAAAGAGGGGAAAAAAAGGGAAGAGAAAGGAAAGAAAAAGGAAGAGAAAGAGAGGGGGGGAAAAGAGGGAAGGAGAAAAGGAAAGAAGGGAAAAGTAGAGGACAAAAAAAAAAAGAAGGCGGGGGGGGGGGAAGAGGAGGGGGGGGAGGAGAAAAATATGTGAAAAGAAAATTCTCCAGTTATTGGTGGGGTGGGAAAAGAAGATGGGGTAGCCAGCTTTGGCGCAGAGGAAATACAAGGCAAGGTGAAGCAAAGAAGAAGGAGGAGAGAGAGGGAAGAAAAAAAAAGACGGGAACGCGGCCCACTACCAAACTTCCCCGACATGGCTGTAACAAGACCAAGTAAAAGACGTCATAGAGACCCCCAGAAGTACTTAAACAAACTAGCCCATCAACCCTATATCCCCCCCACTAGCCATTCTTAGACCTGGATTGTTTTTCTAAATTGTTCTCACACTCCATATCTTCGATGTTCCTCTTTTCCGCAGTAGTAGATCTGGTGGTCATCTGATGTGAAGTGGTTCATTCCAGTCCATTTCAGTTCGCTGACCCCCAGAATGTCTATCTTTAGTCTTGACATCTCACCAATAACAACATCCAATTTGCCCTGGCTCATAGATCTTACATTCCAGGTTCCTATGGTGTGTTGATCTTTAGAGCATCGGATTCGTCGTTCACCTCCAGTACCGTCGGCCGCTAGCCTTCCTTTCGGCTTTGAGCTAGCTGCGTCATCACATCTGGGGCTAGTTGAACTTATCCTCTGCTCCTCCCCAGTAGCATTTTGGCCATCTTCGGACCTGGGAGTCCCATCTTCCAATGGCATACCGACATATATCTGGTTTGAACTGGGTTATCTGAGTCCACCGACATATCTCTGGTTGTACTGGTCCATTTAGTTTTCTTGGCAAGGATACTGGAGTGGTTTGCCATTGCCTTCCCCAGGGATCACGCTTGGTCTGACCTCTCTGCCACGACCGTCCCGTCTTGGGTGTCCCTTCACGGTTTCGCTCATGACATCATTGAGGTGCTCAAGCTCCAGCGCCCCGACAAGGCGGTGACCCTTTGCTGGAGAGATAGATAGATAGATAGATAGATAGATAGATAGATAGATAGATGGATGATTGGAAACATAACATGGGCCCAGTTTATTTATCAAAGTACATCATACAGCTCGCTAACTAAGAGCACTTCTACACTGATCATTTAAGGCAGCATTAAGCCAGTACAAGAGAATTACACAGGAAGCCCTGCAACCAGGTCGAGACACCACAGAGATTGACTTCAACCAGGTTCTTGAATCCCCAGCATTCACTGTTTCATGA